CCAAGCAAAATAGTGCTATAAAACAGAGTAATTTATAACCAACTGGAATTAATTTTTAAAAAGTAAAATTCTATTAATCTAGTGCCACAAAGTCCTATAACAGTTATAAGATGTACAAGGGTAATCAAAATAGTGAATGCTTAAATTTTAAAAATTATTACAATAAAATACACATTGCTATTAATCCCTCTCAAAATACTCCCTCTTGCTTTAACATACTTATCCCATCGTTCTTGCCACTTTCTGAAGCAGTTCTGGAAGTCCTCTTGCATGACTGTCTTTACTAGGTATAATTAAAAATACACTGAATGCTGCTGCCAAGTCCCATCTGAAAAGGAAGTCAGGCTCATAAAAACATATTCATCAGATCTGGCATGGTGCAATTTCTGGCTCCTTCCCAAAGTCAAAATGACCACGAAAGGTAAACATATTTAGTTGATTCAGGACATTGTGGTAGCCATGAGAACCCAACTAAAGATAGTTATGAAAGAAGACATGCAAAAATGCTTCAAAAAGTGGCAAGAATGATGAGATAACTGCGTTAAAACCAAAGGGATGTATTCTGACGGGGATTAATGGCAATATGTCTTTTACTACAATAACTTTAAAAAATTTAACATTTGCTGTATTTTTTAATCACACCTATTGTATCATTCTCTTGATACTTTATAATGATTACCTTTTTAATACAAATATCAATATTCTGTAATTAACAATACCTAATTTACTCCAGTAAAAAAGCAAAAAACCAAGAAATCCAAGTAAATCAGCAGTCCCTTTGAAAACAGTGATTAGCTTTACTAGTATACCATAAGAAGTATTCATTTAGCAATATTTGTCATCAATCTGGTAGTGCTGGTCAAGATATTCTATAGTACAGTACAGCTAATACTGATTACTTTGTAATTTATATTATTCTGTTCCTTACTGTGCCTAAACATAAACCCTAAGTTAAAAAGTAACTACTTGTACTGTATTTAGAAAAAAAGTGATACCTGTGCTGTAAGTCAAAGATCTGTGCTTTTATAAAGCTACCCGGTTCAATTTAAATGAATCTCTTTTTTACAGTTACTTATTAAATATTTGTGTCTAATCTTTCAGATTAAATTGTAAACTTCTTGACAGCAGATGTGTTTCATAGCATGGTATAGGAGCTGGCTTATAACATGTACTCGACACACTCAATAAAGTATATTACAGGTTTTAACTTTACATGCCATTCTTTTGAAACAGCACTAACGACACTACACCATAGAAAAATGACAAGTAGAAGATGGGCATAGTGGCCATCAAGAAATTCTCTGAACTACCTTGTATAATAGCTCAGATAAACCCCCATTTCAGAAGGAATGCTGTCCCTTACCCATGAGGAAGGAATAAGGCACAGAAGGGCCAAGAATTACCTGAACAGCAGGCCTTGCTGTGTTTCCCCACTCCATCTACTAGCGTCAGGTTTCAACTCTTTGGTCCAATCACATTTCTACACAGTTGTCCATGTTTAACCATGCCTATGTAATAAAGTCTTCAATAAAACCCAAAAGGTCAGGGTTTCCAGACAGGTGAACAGGCAGAGGGTTGGAGAAATGTGAATAAGAACTCATTCATGTACCAGAGGACAGCATACCCCAAGTCCATAAGAATAGAAGCTCCTGCACTCAATACCCTTCCAGATCTCATCCTATGTGTACATTTATCTGGCTGCTTATTTGTATCTTTCAAAATATCCTTTATAATAAATTAGTAAATATAAACATAGAATTTCCCTGAGTTCTGTGAGCTGCTCTAGAAAATTAATCAAATGGGGGGGGGGTGTTCACAGGAACTCCAACTGGTAGCCAGTAGATCAGAAATTTCAGAAG